TTTTTTTTTGTCGTTACCCCCACCAACTCTGGCTTATGGATGCTATCTTGCCACCGACTAGGGATCTGCTTGGAGATTAACTCTTACCAGCCGCCTCCCGAAGCCTAGTACTAGAGGCTACCCGCACCCCAAGTATCTGTCCCCGGACGTCACAACGCGATTAGGGTACCAGAAGCGACGTGACGTCCAATTTTCGCGTCGTTCCGGCGGCGTGGAACGAGATTTGCGCCGGCCGCATTAGCCGGGGAACGAGATTGGGGGAACCACTTTACGGCGGTAATTTGTCGTCGCCTGGTGGTCCCCAGGGAGTCTGCGCACTGGATAGCAAAGCTGTTTCTAAAGTAGAACACTTTGTATTAGCCTGGTATAGTTCCCTTGTATGTTCCTTATATATGTATGTCTAAGTCAAGTAGTGTATCTTTTGTCTCCACTTTTCTATATACGTTTGTTATGTGTCTGTTAAGTCTTGACGTGTACCTAGCCCGCCGTGGCATGAATGTACAATAAAGGTATTTCAATTTCTAAAGTAGTACATTTGTGCAGCTTTTAAAGCGACATCATGTAAGATTTTCACTATTTTAAACATCGTTGTTTAACACATTTTGTTGTGCTACAAGCATACCTGAGTTCATGATTTGGGGAGTAAAAGATCAACGTCGTTGTGCCGCAAAAACGTGTTGGAAAACTGCAACTCAACGTCTCAAGTTTTTTTTTTCGTCAGTGGCATCGTATTTTTGCCTCATAGCATGTTGCTTTAACTTACTGCATAAAAAATGTAGGTAGCTGGACCCTATATCTGCCAATCTCTACTTTTCACATTTCCATCTCAAAAATTCTTCTGCACCAGAGAGCCACAAGAGTCTGTCTCCCAGATATAGAAAGAAAACGGGGAGCTGACCAGCTCAAACTCTCAGGTGAGATCGTGTGGCGTAGCGGCAGAGTGTGCGACTCGGAACCTAGAGGTCCCGGGTTCGAGTCCTGACATGCCACCGATCTTGTGCCCTTGGGAAAGGCACTTTACACGACTTTCCTCACTCAGCTCAGGTGAAAATGAGTATTGTCCTGTCATGTATTTGTCCCCTGTGTTGGTGGCGGCATTAATATAAGCTGATAAAACTTGAGTTACCACGTCTGGTGATTACATGTTGAAATAGAAAAAAAAACTCTTAAATCTTCGGGGCCCTCCACTGCCCAACGCCTTGCCACCGTAGTATCTGCTTGGAGCAGAGTTTAGCTAGCCCTACAGATGGCCCCAGCACGACTAGCCGCAGGGGGCTGGAGCCAGACTAGGCAGGTGTTCCTGGTCTAGTCACCGCTAGCGCTAGCCTCCTCTCCACCAGGGGACGATAAAATACTCCAAATTGGCCTAAATACGGGGATAATTTCCCAGTGGAGTTTGGCAGGCCAGAGGCTTGCTG